GCTGGTTCGACCCCCCATCCCACAAAACCAGCTAGATCTAACAGACATGGGGGCGTTATAATGTGACGGTCAATCCCACTATTCGTTGGTAAAAGAGTAGCCCAAGAGTTGGCGGTGGGTGGTGATGACTAGCTGCCTTCCCTCTAGTCTTACACTGCTAAATTAGGGACGGCTAGCGCAGATAGCCCTCGTGTAGCTTTGCGCGAAATTCAAAACAAACAAACAGTCTCTAAAGGCATCTTCGAAAAGCATCCCTCGGTGTTACCTCTAACCCTTCCGCCCCCCAGTGGCACAGCGGTATGTCTGCGGACTTACAATGCTAGAATTCGGACTTCGATACCCGTGGTGGGCAGAGCAGAGATAGCCCATTGTGTAGCTTTGTGCTTAATTACAAACAGACAAACAAACTAACCCTTCCCCATTCAAAATAAAAGAAACAACAACACATAAAAACATGTAGGACAAATAAGAATGCAATAATATGTTTCAGAACCCAACTCTCTTTCATAGTGACGCCTGTACGCCTTTATATGAATAAAAAAAACTCTACAAAACTTTCTCTCCTAAGCCGTATAAAACTTCATTTTGCCGACGGCATTTCTTGCCGTTAACCTTCCTGGGCTGACAAGGAACTGTCGTTCTGGTCAAATCATAAGTATAGATGTTTAGAGTAAAAAATATTCGTCAAATTTCGAATTCTTCTGGAGCTGAAACTCTAGTCTGCTCCTTTGACAACATTCTCTCCTAACAGTTATCATATGAACATTTCATGTACGAACCTACGTTTTTGTCTATGCGTTTAAGGAGACATCTACATTTTACTTACATTGATGTACAAACCAAAAATAGTATTTTTTATTTCGTGGCAGATAGGAGGTTCTATTTAAGGACTTATCCCATAGAAATGTGTTGTTCTATTTAGAATAGTTGTGAATACATTATCTGTTTTGGCAAGAAATATGAAAAACGTCATTTAGTAATAATGTTGCTAAGAAACAACAAGCTGTTGCCTGCATGCATTGCTGCAGATTTACAATTCCTAATCTAATCTGCTTACAAGTTCTTGTCGGTGATGTTGTTTCGACTGTTAACAAACTGACAGATAAACATAGACGTACTTAACACATTTTCTTGAACATGAGTATAAAATCTGTTAGAGATACGTATCAGTTCATGTCGCTATGGGTATACAGCTTTTATCTTCCGAACTGTGTTTGTTTTACACGATGACGAAAAACTTGGAACTTCAAATACGCTGAACAAGAAGTTGCATTTTCTGAAAAGTCTAGGAAGTTAAAAAAGTAGGATAGAATTTTAGTCCAGAAACAGAATAACTGGAATAATGTCTAGCGCGTTGCAGATTTAATCAAAAAAGATGGCGATTTTATTAGAAAAGCGTTTCATGATTAGTTCTAAGAACAATATATATAAATATATTCAAAGCAAAACGAAAAATCCAAATATATCACGTACGAAAATTGTTTCATTCTGTCGAGTCTTTGATAGTAAGAAAACAACAAGTAAGCGATATATTATATTGTGAAAATATTTCCAAAAGGGAAAAAGCAGAAAATTCTAATTTTGCTCAAAAGCAGCTAAATTTAACTAAATTTGTAATTCCTGGCTTACAAGATTACTGGCCAACCCAAAATTCTGGGATTATCGACGTTATTATTGTGTTTTATCAAATAATATAATACAAGACACTGGGTTCCTTGAAAGCTCATGACTAGTCTTTACTTGAATTTATTTTTATAAGTTTCTGAACATTGATATGAAATGATTAAAGAACATTAAAATGGAGATGGTTTCATCTTCTTTATTTAGTGTAATAATGTTTTTGAACTTCTGTTTTAAAGAAAGAACTGAGTTAATTATAATGACAAAAAATAACTTTTTTTTTCTACACACATAACTGTACTGTAGAAAGATTAATGCTGTGAAAAAAACATACTATTGATTATGTTGTTTTTGTTCACATCCTAGAAGACACAAAGAAAACTTTTCAAATTAGCTGTTTTTGACGCTCTGCAAGCCAGGAAATGAAAATCATTAAGATTGTTCATCACCGTCAGTTACAGGGCTAAAGCTCTCGAGGTGTGGTCGCATAGCAACACACTTTCCATGCTTTTAGTAGCTTCATGTCCCCATTCAAAATATTGCAGTTTTTGTCAAGGACGAAAAGTCTTTGGAAACCCATTATTAATAGTAGTTTACTTGATGCAGGTGTTATGGCGAGAGTTATAAACCCATGATATAAACACAGTCTTTAGACTCTAGGAGTATTTCATCTATTGATATACTTAGCTACGGCAGTAAACTGTTAAGTGCGGCATTAATCGGGCTCAAGATTCATCGCTACACTACCCATTAAAACACCTTCTGATAGATATAACTTTAAAAGTCCTATATATTTTTTACCTTATCGTTTTACAGTAATGTATTTTCATGTAATTTTAGTTGTTTTTATCAAGATGCTTAACAAGAAAAAAGTTGTTTTACTGAAAAAATCAAAGAAACTTTAAGCAATACGTATTCAGTAACTTCGGTAATCTTAGAAGGAACCAAATTAATAAAAAATATATTAATATACACATAGATATTGTA